TAGGATATTTCTCCCAGTGAGAATTCATTCCTATCTACTCTCCCTGCAACATACAGGGCTCTGTGACTGTTCTGATCAACAGAATATCATAAATGCCTCATCTTGTACCAGTTTCCACTTTTAGGCCTTAAGATTATCTCTGCTAAGAGAGAGCCAAGCTACAAATGAGGAAGAAGTCTAACTTGATACTATCAGGCAACAAAGGTCACATGAACCCCAACTTCTATCTCTGTACAGGTACCGTATATGTGCATTGTGATTACTCCAGAGTAATTCACCCATTAGTTGAGAACCATCCAGTGATCTTAGCAATACAACATTATAGAAAGATCACCCGGTTGAGACCTGCTTGAATTCTCAACCTGAAGAATCATGAGTTATATAAAACAGTTCTTGTAATGTACTGATTACCTGACTTATGTAACTATAACCTCTCTGTACATCACCTTTACTATGAAAATAAATAAATAAAACTACTAAGTATTGATGACACAGTCTTACTGTAACATGTTTTTTGTAATTCACCTGTTTTGTCTTTTGAGCTGTTATCAGGGTCACATGTCCTGCTACTATTTTCTGCAAGGTAAGGGGGAGGCAGAAGCCCAATCCTAGTTACTTTTCACAAATAATCTGCAAAGTTCATAATCTGCAGAGTTCATATTTTTATAGACAAAAAGTCAAATTTCCCTGAGACATTATAAAACCAACAACTTTCCAAACAGCATGAGGTTCAACCTAAGTGCATTTACATTCATATTCTTCTTACTAAACAAATTATTGTACATATATAATCAAGCCAAAATATTCATGCTCAGGCTCTCTTTTCGTTCAGTTAACAAATGGCTATTTAGATACTTTCCCATGATTGAAGCAAGAGTAGGATTACAAATGCATAATTAAGACCATTTACAGTAGTCTGAAGCAGCAAGCTTCAAAGACAGTATTTTAAAACACCCATTACTGAGATAAACTGTGAAGTGTATAGCAAATAACATGTATTACAAAACTGTTCTGTGATGTATGTGGCTGTAGAGGTATGTGAAGGGGATGCATGTACCATCACAGCATTACACAGTTAAAATCTGGATGCAACAAAAATACACATGAATAGCTAAGATAGACTAGAGAAAAAGATGGAGACTAATTTTTTTGTCTATCTCAGCCTCTTGAGTAGCTCAGATTAGCCACCTGCACCTGGCTTAGTCTATCATATTTTATACTTGACATATGAAGTGAATTTTTAGAAATGTTTTCTGACAAGTATGTATCACTTATGAAAATTTATAAATAATCTGGATTGCACCATTCCAAGATGAACACATTGTCCTGAATAATCACCTTGACCCAAGCACAGGAGAACAGCCAGAATGAATTACTTCCCAAGGAGAAACTTCACCCCATCCACATTAGAAGTGGTAAATTCTCTACTCAAATCTTCTCCTCCTTGGGCTCCCCAATCCTACCCCAGCCTTGCTTTATGGCATGGCTCCATCCCTAACCTGTAACTGAGAAAGCAATATACAAGTTACCTTCCTGGAAAGAAAAGAGTACATTTATGACAGCTTCAGCTGATGGCTTTTAGTACAACCATTCTCTGTTCTAAAGTCTATCTCTGGATTAAGTCAAAGCACCCAAGAGAAGCATTCCCAGCCCGCCTCTTACTGCTTCCCTTCAGCAGCATGTTATTTACTGTGGTGTCTGACAGAAAAGCCACCATGCTCTCCTGGAAGGAAGCTCTAGAAACCAGCCTGCAAAAGACAGGCTTTAGGATTTACTCTGAGGATGCTGAAGAGTACAAAGTTGATTATGATGCATGATAACAAAAAGGAAACATCTTTTATAGCTTATAAGGCTTCCAAAAAGCTGAGAAAATTTTGATCTTACAAACACTAGAAAATGTAACTAGTATTGTAAAGGTTTCCTTAGAGAGCTTAGGTAAAAATTTGCGATCCATCTGCTGTAAAGAAGCATTGATATAATTGTGTGCCTTACCCTTATTCCATCAGTCTCATTTTTACATTTTTTTTACAGTATTGAAGTATAATTTACATATCACTAAATCCACCTATTTGAAAGTGGAGAGCTAATGATATGTCAATTACATGGTGCAGTATCATTATAATCTAGTTTTAGAACACTTCGTCCTCTGAATTTCTTTAAGTTGACATATAGACAAAGTTGGCCTCTACTCTTTGAACCATTCTGTGCTTTCTATCTCCATCGATTTCTCATTTCTAAATAGTTCATACAAGTGGAAGCACATAACACATAGTCCTTTTGAGTCTGAATTGTTACTTAAGACAATATTTCTGAGCATCATCCATGTCAGAATTATTTCCCTTTTTTTATCTATTTACCAGTTAATGAATATTTGAATACTTTCTTGTTCTTGTCCATTATGAAATACATGTCTTTGTATCAATATGTTTTCATTTCTAAAATGTTTCACTCTAATATGTTGAACAATTAATTACATGTGTCAGTTTGGGTTGGTCATAGTGCACAGAATTTTGTCAAATATTAGTCTGTATGTTTTGTTGACTATTTTTGGATGAGATTAATTTGTAGACTTTTATAAAGTGGCTTGTCTTCCACTATGTGGGTGTGCTTCATCCAATCTGTTGAAGGCTTGGATAAAAGTCTGAACTTCCTGACTACCTTCAGATTTCACCTGTAACACCAGTTTCCAGCAGACTGCTGTGGACCCATGCTGCAACTGTTTGGAGTCTGTGGCCTGCTGGCTCCTTGAGCCTCTGTAACTGTGAGAGTCTATTCTTTAAAAGTTTTTTCCTGTATACATACACACCTTACTGCATCTGCTTCTCTACAAGCACAACTAAAAACAAGGTAAACTGATATAATTTTCCAAGAAAGAACCAACTAATTTTTCAAAGCAATTTTATCATTTTACATGGATGCCTATGAATTCTTGTTTGACCAGGTTCTAGATTGTATTATATGTCTTTTTGAGTACAACCATCCTAGTAGGCATACATCATACCTCATCACTTACACCACTACCTCATTACTTTTGGTCTTCTCTTTTCACTTTTTCTTTCTTTTTTCTCTTTTTGGTGGTCCTGGGATTTTAACGCAGAGTTTCATACTTGTTAGGTATATACTATCGATACATACCCACAGCCCTTTTTGCTCCAGATAATTTTGAGATTGGATCTCACTTTTTTTTTTTTTTTGCTGGTCATGGGGCTTGAACTCTGGGCCCAGGCACTGTCCCTCAGCTCTTCAGCTCAAGGCTAGCATCCTACTACTTGAACCACAGCACCACTTCCAGCTTTTTCTGTTTGTGTGGTGCTAAGGAATCAAACCCAGGGCCTCATGCATACAAGGCAAGCACTCTACCAATGAGCCACCTTCCCAGCCCCTGGATCTCACTTTTTGTCTGGCTGGTCTGGACCATAATTCTCACTTCTATAATTTACATTTCCCCCACAGATGGTATGGCAGATACATACCACCACATCTAGTTTTTTTCTCTTGAGATCTTAGTTTTGCCTGAGCTGGCCTAGAAACTTGATCTTCCTGATCTAAACCCCCACATAACTGGGAGGACAGGTCCATACTACTATACTCAGGTAAAAAGTCAAGAATTTTTACCCTGGGTATTGAACTGTGATCCTCCACATTTCTGCCTTCTAAGTAGTTAGGATTGTAGGCATCACAACAGGCATCCAGCCTAAACTTACTGATTTTTTTTAAAAAATTGTTGCCTTCCTAATAACTCATATAATGATATTTTCATGTGTTTATTAGCCATTGTTAGGTCTTTTGCGGGGGAAAATGTTTACTGGGTGCAATTGCTTTTTATCTCTCCCATAGGACTGTATTCTTACTGATTACAGGGGTTTTCTGTGTACTCTGTATACTTTACCACATAGAATGTGAAAATAGCTTCTCTCTCAGGTTGTAACTTGTATTATGAGCTTCTCAAGAATGTCTTTTGACATGCCTGTAATCCTAGCTACTCAGGAGGCTGAGATATGCAGATCACAGTTTGAAACCAGCCTAGGAAGGAAAGTCCATGAGACTAATCTCCAATGAACTACTCAGAAAAAAAAGGCAATGGTGCTGTTGTTAAAGTAGTAAAGCACTAGCCTTGAACACAAAGAGGCTCAGGAACAGCACTCAGGACCTGAGTTTAAGCCCCAGGATTGATTAAAAAAAAAATGTCTTTTGACTCATGAAGGTTTTCATTTTGAAGAAGTCAAATTCATCATTTTTATCCTCAAAGGCAATACTTTGAAAATCACACACAACTCTGTACAACTCAAAGTTTCTTCTTTTATTAGAAGTTCAAAGTTTTTCACTCTGAATGTTAAAGTCCACAATTCCTGTTGAGTTAATTTTTGTGTGTGGTTGATTTTTCTAAGGAGGTTTTATCATATGGATGTCCAATTCTGAACGTGTGACATCTGTTGGAAAAATAATCCTTTTGTATTTAATTGTCTTAGCAGCTCTTCTGAAATTAATAGACCAGGAATTTAAGTTTATTTCTGGTTTCTCACCTGTACCCCACTGATCTCCATGCTTAGTTTTGTGCCAGGACTGTGCTGCTTCTACTAGACTTAGTACTAGAATTAGGAAATTTAAGTCCCCAATTTTATTCTGTAGCTATTTCTTTTAGATTTCATTTGATTTTAGTTTATCATGTGCAGTAATGGATACAATCTTAAACCTTTTCTTGGGCAAAACAAGATATAAATATAAAAATTAAATAAGCCATAGTTTAAAGTGACCTTGCAAAAAAGAGTCTCAAGCTATGAAAGTGAGAGCCACAAACATTATTAAATGAATGCTTAAGACAGACCAGACATGTACAAGCTTCCATGCTAAAGATACAGAGACTAGTAAGACTCAGTGTTCACTCAGCACACAGAAGGGAGTGAGGGTACAGTGTATTCATAGCAATGACAATAATGTGGACACACCAATGGTAAGCAAGGCAAGGCCTATTTACTTCATCTAATCAGAATTTCCCTTACTTAATATAAGCTTGTTCCTGAAAAAGTAGTTGACAAATTTCTGGTATTTTTCTGAAAAAAAAAAAAAAAAGAAAGTGAGTTTCAAAAAGCCATAGAACTTAGTACTTATAAAAGCTTGTAATAAGCAATACTTCTGTAAAGCACTGGTTCTCTCAACTAGTTTAAGTCTTTTCATTCGCTTTTTGTTCTTCAGATTACGAAAGGAATTTAGACCCACAGGAAAAAAAAATCACACAAAACAGAAGTATTTATAGTAAAAAGGGAATGTCTTACCTCTACCTCACCCTTCATTTCCCTCATAAATCCTGTTACGCTTGGTGAATTCCTGATCATCCCAAGTAACAAGCAACTGACTTGTGTGTGTGTGTGTGTGTGTGTGTGTGTGTGTGCGTGCGTGCGCGTGAACATGTGTTCTGAGTGTGTGCATATGTGTAAGACTTCATAGTGACAATTGCTGACAGTGGTTCTACAAGAAATATTAATGAACTTACTTAAAGGGGACAAGAAGTAAATTAGAAGAAAGAGTGGGCATTTCCAAATTCAAGAAAAACTGGAAAATTCTGGGTTAAGTAAAATCCCAATATATCTTACACTGTGACTGTTTTCAACTTGCCTAAAATTTGCTGACTACCAAACCCTTTAACTGTAAATTACCGAGTAATATCTTGAAAGTCTAGATCTTCACAAATCACAATGTGATAAGCCAGCTGTTAGAGTTTCTCCTCCACTGTTACACTGGCAGCAATCCATACAGTTGAACCCATGTGGACATTCAGAAACACGCTGAGGGTTGCACACACTACCATTGGCTAAAAGACTAGGAAACAGTCAGCAGGCTGTCTTAAGATTCTATCTCTACAGGGCTGGAAAACCTGGTTTCACTTCTGTTCTGCTTTGTTATTTTTCCTCTAGACAATAAAAGAAGAAAACTAGAGACAAAGTTCAACTCTAAAATTATATCATTAACAGTATTTTTAAAAGGTAAACACAGTAAAAGTATCTTAGCATAAATTCTGCTCAACTTGAATGTGTTTTACAAAACATAAAACTAGGCTTAAAATAATTTTCACGATTAATACAAGAATTGATTCATTACAAAAAATGCTTTAAGAGGCACTGAACACTATGAAGTTATATTTATATTTAGTGCCTACAGCTGCTTATAGATAAACACAAAACAATGGATTTGGAGTTTCTCCTTTTAAGTTAGAGTTCACACTAAGATATCACTTGACAATAAGCAGCTAAACTTGCCATTGTGATAGAATGGGGCCTTTTGTAGTCATGAATGGTTAACTTTTCAGCCTTCTTTCTTTTTCCCCTTCCTCCCTCCCTTCCTTTCTGTGGAAATTTTAGTTGGCAGAGCCACCTGTGAGATATTCTACTGAACTGATTCTTATGGTAGCCTAAAAGAGCTGCTGTAAGGCCTGGGCAAAAGCTTCCCTAAAATTCCACTCCAGAATAATATAAGGAATAACTAAGTCAGTGTTGGAAAGATGTTTCCACCATCCGCTTAAGATTGTTGTTGTTTGTTTTCTTCATGGCTACTAGGAACAGTGCATGTACTAACTGTTCCCATTATTTATAAATGCAGGTGGTCTCCTCACTTCTTTATAGACAAACTGCTTGTTCAATGCCATATTTTCCACATATCTGTCCCACTCTAGCTCAAGCCTAGCTGACTTTTCCCCTTCCTAAGCCTCCTGATTCTTGCTCAAGCCTCTCACTTAGTACATTTAATAGACTTGAAATTACTATTTGACTTGATGAGTCAAACAATAGATGGCAGGAATCTACAAGAGAGACTACAATGCCAGGCACAATTCTGTTTGCATTGGTACTATTTGTTGACTGACTGATAATATAATTCAATGTTTTTCCCAGGAATATTTAATCCTTGAGAGAAATATGGTTTTCTACTCAGGAAACAATGGACTTCCTTATTAGTTTTAGAAAATGTTCACAGATTATCTATAATTTACATAATTGATGACTAGATGTCTTTTTTTTTTTTAACCTGTGACAGGGCAGTGGTATGGTTTAGCTTTAGCTCTAGACAATCTAAGGACTTGCTGTGGAAAGCTATGAAGGAACCAACTGCTTAATGACAAAAGGATTTTAAGTAGTAGCTAATATTAGAGGCTACAGGAAGTATGAATATAGCATATTTACATATATGAATACCATCGTGTACATATGGAACAATAAAGAATCCGCAAAAGTAATTTGACAGTGCCATTCATTCAGTCATTTAATAAACCATTACTGAAAGCTTATTATGCATAGAGTCCTGCATTACACTTGAGAACTAAAGGTGAATAAAAAATAGCAACCATCCATGTTGGTCCTCTGAAGACTTAAATGGAATAAATTTCAAGATTTACGTACTTATGTCCAAGTAAAATTATATTAGATGTGGTTAAGGAGCATTTAAAGTTCCTTATCTCAGCCAGGCATGGTGGATCATGCCTGTAATCTTAACTACTCTGGATAGAGATCAAGAGACTCCTAGATCAAGATTATACCAGGCCAAAAAAAAAAAAAAAATACCCAGGACCTTATTTCAACCAATAGTTCAGTGTAGTGCCACATGTCTGTCATTCCAGCTCCACAGGAGGCTGAGAGTGGGAAGACTACAATTCCAAGTCAGCTGGGGAGGAGGAGGGAGTAAGATGCTCATGAGATACCAGTTTATGATGGATGTGGTATTAGGCCCTTGCCATCCAGGTACCTCAGGAAGTATAAATAGAAGAGTCATGATCAAGGCTGACCCAGACAAAAAGCAAAAAGCAAGACTCTAACTCAAAAACAACCAAAACAAAAAAAACTAGAAATGTATCTCAAGCTGAAAACATCTAACAAATGTAAAGCCCTGCGTTCAAATCCCAGGACTATCAGAAAAACAATCTTATTGTTTAAATCAGAAAAAAGTTTATTTTGCCCAAGCACCAACAAGATGTCTTGTCTTCATAGAGAGTTTCACTTCTGACCCTAAATTTCTAGAGTCCCTAGTTGCTAACCGAGGAGAGAGATGTGCTATGAGCAGCATAAACAAATGTACACCTAAATAAACCCTGTTAGCTGGTGTGGCACAGGTACCCCATCCACCTCAATTCATAAACAGCTGCAGACACTTTATTTTGCTTCATAGCATACTGGTTTTTTTGTTTTCCTAAAACTTATAGGGGAAAGGCAAAAACTAGAAACCCTTTGCCAATCACAAAAATGTATGTATTTTAAACTGCAGAACCAAAATGAGTTGCTATATACTTTTAAAACCAGATTTTAAAAAATAGGAAATAGGTATTTCCTCTAATGTTCAACTATAAATCCTGTTAACTAACTATAAAAGAATCAGAAATGTTGCTGTTTTAGCTAAACATCTTTGTGTTTCTCTGGTGTATCTTTAGAAGGAATATAAACTTGAAGAGATCTATAGGATTCCATTCAACCAGAAATTCACTAAATCGAGAATCAGTATATTCAAAATCCATACAATTAATTTGACCATAAACTTGGTTGCTAAATACCAATTTCAAAAGTAATGTTATTGCTCTGCTGTTTTAAACCAAAGGGCTTCCTTCTCAAGACTGCAAAGGAAGAAGCATGTAGGCTATCTCATGGGTGAAGGAGTGATTTCTACTCTTATAAAAACAGGAGGTTCGCCTACATAATCACCTGGGACAAACTTGGCCCGTGCAAACAGGCCAAAAGTTAAAGGAGCCTGGGAACGTTTAACATCAAGAAAGGAATTACAGCTCAGTAAGATCAGAGGGAATTACACAGGAAATGTGAACAGTAACCCTTTCAGATCTTTGGACCTCTTCCGAGTGCCTGTGATAAATGGAGTCCTGCTGCCTTGTAGTAAAGTGACTACATGAGCCAAGAGCAGAGATGGATGGGGGCAAAGAAAAAAAGACATTTTATACACATCATACACACACACATACACTCATACACACACATGTACACACATAGAGCAACATATATTCACACTGACATGACAGAATCATGCTACTTGAGAAAACAGCCCTTAACTTTTCATTTTAACTGCTACATATGCATCATATCAATGCCTTATCCAACACAGCCCAAAGTAAAAATTCCAAAGACATGTGAAGAATCAGAAGGGGTGGGAGAGATGGAGTAGTTGGCAAACTCAGCAAAAGCAGGGAAAAGTGGCTCCTAGCTGACCAAAAAAAGAGGTCTCAACCCTGGCTTTTATTTAAACATCTTGTCCCCAGGAAGTCTGTGGGGAGAGCATTCTTTCCATAAGAAATAATATGAAATAGAATCAGAAATGATGCTATTCCATACTTCACTATGTAAAAGTTTTTTCAGTATTCTAAACCAGATGCATAGACAGTTCAGCTGACTACAAACTTTTTTTAATAAAGAGTAGTTTATAGTCATCAGTTAAAATATTTCTAGTTGCTAATTTGGAAAAGTAGATGTGATTGCACATCCAAGAGATCTTTAGAAACTCTGGCATTTCAAGAAAACAGGGCAGTCTTACTGCATCTACCTCTTAGAAAAGGGGAAAACACTTTTCACGAGCAGGTGTCTTTGAGAGATTATTAATTAATACACAGTCTTTGGACAGGGAGGGCATGAATGGAGCTAACAAAATACAATGGAACAAAGTGCTATTTCCAGTTAAGTAAGATTAAATATGGAATGGAATTTCAGAGATGCCTTTTAAAAAAATTTAAATTTTCCACTGGTATAACTTTAGGACAGACATGGTTTGACATAAAAAATACATAAATAAGTGAAAGTGAACACAGAGATGGTGAAGCAAGCTACCAATGAAAGGGAAAAGGCTTAGTTTTTCTGAACTATCCAGGAAGAGGAACAATATATACCAGAACAAAAGTGCCTTCTCCAAGAACACATAATATCCATACTGTTTTCCTACAATAAGTGGCACAATGAGACTGAAACCATAGGCTTCTTCATTGTCTTAAACAACTGATACCTAATTTCTGTAGCATTGGATTCAGAGATAGGCAGACTTAGGACTATAAGAAGCTATGGGATTCTGAATTGCT